CTAATATTAAAAAACAAAGCAGTGATAAAAAAACAAAACACTCTTAAAATTATTTATATATTTTTGATTAAACCTGCTTATTTTAATTTCATTATAATAATTTTTAATCCCACGGAATGTACAGATAACAAAATACGTAAATCTCGATAATTTATCTTTCAATTGCTTGATTTTTTTTCCAAACTATTGATAGTTGGTAATTACAATTTCGACCTTGAATGCCTATAGTATGTTTAGGAGAAAGACATACTCCAATCATTTTTTGTTGTGTGTTGGAATTAACAGCTTAAATTACGGGTAAATTTATTATCAAGTAATGATCAATTGTGCAAACCACTTAGGCTGGAAATAACATTAAAATATGATGTCCACAACGAATAAATACGTAGTAGAACAAAAGTAGAGGAAGTAACATGCTTCATTCAAATGATGTTGGGTAGAACAAGATGATACCAGGGGGACTAAACTCGTCGACCAGGTGATACGTAGATTATATTAAGGTGCTATCTGACAGAAAGTGAAGTGGTCTTCTTCACTGGCGAAGAGAAATAGAAAATACATAATCGAATAAGACAAAATAAAAAAGTGAACCAACCGAACGTGACATACCGTTTTTACTCTAAATATTTATGGTTTACGATCCCTGGGATAAGGCAAAACTGTTTTATGTATGGCCAAACCAGCCAGTTCCGCCTTTGTCTGTAAATTAATACGTTCAAAGAAAATTGGAAGTTATTTATGGCACGTACTTACCACATCTAACCTGCCGACATGACTAGAAAAAAACTAAGGCTAGTATCGTGATTATTTTACTATGGAGTCGTCTAACGAAGTAGTGTTCGAATTTTTATCATTGTATAAATTACCCAATTTACTAAAATTTTTACCGACAATTCTGATGGCGTACAACAGACCTCGATACTCACCATTGGAATGCTCCGACTACCTTTTGAGGTAGGTCGAGTGCATTTATTAAAAAGCAAATATTTGCGGCTTAGTAACGTGATATGTTAACCGATGTCTCTTTTCTGATCGTTAATATCGATTTTCTGTTTCTATTTGCCGACCTAAAGCAGCGAAGAACGCCATTCCATGATCTGTCTAATGCCTTATGCCTAATGCTTTACCCATAGCTTCTAAATAAAATACAAGATATAACTTTTGACTATATAAAAAGATTTACTTCAACAGTAACACTCTTAAAATTGAATCATAGCCGTTTTCATAAATTTGTATCCTCTTTGATGATAGATTAAAGGTTACACAAAGAACGAACGGACTAGGCTCGGGCTTCAGTCTGGTAGAGGTATCTTTTCTAATCAGCCCTTTACATATGGTATTGTTGTCATATTTAAGTCCCTCCTTGTGAGTGTTTCTGGATTGCTTGTGGTGTTTTGTTATTCCATTCTTGAATATTGTCCCACCACATTCGTTTCTATCGCCATATCGCCATATCCGTGATGTCCTACTACAGACTTCGAGTCATCCTGCTTTTTGTATTTTGGCATTTAGGTCTCCTATCAGCATTGTATACGTCGTGGTAACCTCTTGTATTGCAATGTTAACGTTGTCGTAGAACTATTCATCTCCTTCGTTTGTTTGGGCACTAGTGAGTAAACGGATAAGGTTTTTATATTAAAATAGTTTTATAAAAGATTTTTTAAACAATTTTTTTTTAAAGTATTTAACTTTTCAAGTAAAAGATATAACTAGAAAAAACTATAAAGCACAAAATATTAACTTTTATTTTATTCAATACGAAAAAATCAGAGCCAACTCTAATATTTTAATTGATAGTGAATATAAAAAATGAAGAGCTCATGTTGAAAGTTCGATTTTGTTCATTTTGGCAAAGTTAAGCTTAAAATGCGTGGCATATTTAAATATGATGCAGGTAAAGCGTTTGATCGTGTCCAACACCACAAGTTAATGCAGATTCTCCAGAAAGTTGATATAGACCAAAAAGACATAAGATGCATTGAAAACTTGTACTGGCATCAAACGGCACAGCTAAAAATAGACAATTCTATATCCAAGCCCATACATATAAGAAGAGGCGTTCGACAGGGATGTGTGCTTTCCTCTCTTTTATTTAACATTTATTCGGAAGCCATATTTCAAGCGTATTTGGAGGATGCAGAGATGGGAATCAAGGTGAATGGAGTAATGATCAACAACATACGATATGCTGATGATGGTGTCTTAATTTGTGACAACGTAGTCGATCTTCAACAACTTGTTACTATAATCGGAGAATACAGTGAGCGAATGGGATTAGAGATTAATACCAAAAAGACCAAATTCATGATCATCTCCAGAAACTTGGATGCACTTGAAAGCTCCACCATAACACTGAATAGTAAATCCATAGAAAGAGTGAGTAAATTTAAATACCTGGGATCGCGGCTTTTTGAAGACTGGGCATCGGACAGGGAAGTAAAATGTCGCATTGAGCAAGCTCGACAACCTTTCGTAAAATTTAAGAAGGTACTGACTTGTTCAGAGTTCGATCTTCAACTGAGACTAAGGTTTACTAAGTGCTACGTATGGTCAGTGCTGCTATATGGCGTAGAGGGCTGGACACTCAAAACGAGGGATATAAACAGATTAGAAGCTTTCGAAATGTGGCTTTATCGCCGTATCCTAAAAATACCATGGACAGCGAAAATCACAAATATAGATGTCCTTAAAAGAATAAACCAAGAACGCCAACTTTTCAAAACCACAAAGAAAAGGAAAACGGCGTATCTAGGTCACATAATGCGAAATGAAAAATACCAGTTCCTCCAACTTATAATCGAGGGTAAAATTGAAGGCAAGAGAGGAATGGGACGCAAGAAAATGTCCTGGCTCCGAAACATAAGGCAATGGACAGGGATTAACGACATACAATCTCTGATACATATTGCAAGAAATAGAGAATTAATGGAAAATGTGATCGCTAACATCCATTAGTGGATTTGCATCTTAAGAAGAAGAAGGTACTGCATTAATCCAACCTCAAGATATAGTGAACGATTTTGCCTGACTCTTTAAATAAGCCTACACAGGTTCTAATACATACACTGTTTCAAGCATAAATGTTATGGAAAGGAATCCTTTTACCATTGGTCTAAATAGAATCAAACATATTAACAACTAATAAAAATCTATCACAGGACCTGTATCATAGGATTAGATGAAATTTCGAGTTTTGTAGGTGAAGATTGTATAACTGCATTTCTAGATCCGATATGATATATTTTTAATTTAATTTTAAAACATTACTTTGTCCAAATCTGGGGAAAGTAAAAAAATTCAAACTATTTTAAAAATTGCTAGCTGATCCTCTATAACTAATTGTCGTGCTATATCTCTGCTCAACAATTTTTCCAAGCTGCTGACGAGTTTAATTCCAGTTTTTCAAAATAGCTTTATTGGAAATAAATACTTTACCACTGACTTAGCTTTTCTTACCTAATATATTTATCTACAATCATTTTTGTTGTGTTTTTTACAAGTGATTTGTCTAATTTATTCCAATGTATGATATTATGCCATGCCAATGGCCTAAAAATGTATCTTAGAATTAACAACTTACTTGATTGTAAAATCTTTCAATATAATTTTGATGTCTCTGCTTTTCTATTGGTGTAAAAATAATCATTTAAATTTAAATATAAGTAAATGTTTTCAAATGAGTTTCATAAAAAGAACTTATTAACATAAACTTTGACAGCTAAATCAATTCAAAGCTATTACAAAAAGTCAAAATTATCTTAGAGTAATATTCGGTAAAATAATATGTTTTGTCGAACATATTAATAAAATTGTTTCTTCTACTAATAGATTATAAGGATTGATCTTAAATAATGTAAAATATCTTCAAAATATTAACATTCGTAACTCTATATCAATCTCTTTCAAAAGTTGCAGCAGTTACCAGTGACACTTTCTGTTTTATTGAAAATAAATTGACCCTATGAAATTTTAACCTTTCTCTAATCACTGCTAAACTGACTTTGTGTAAAATCCTATTAAATCTTCTGCTTGAAGAGAATGGTGTTAACTTCAAGCTCTTAGTAATGATATTATTGCCTCTAATCGATTGCAGTTGATCTAATGAAATCCAATCTTTTTAATAGATGACAAGCAGTAAAACTTAATCAAAATATTTTTTCATTTCTAGATCTTATTACTGGTGTACCTCAAGGATCTATATTAGGTCCAATTATATTCTCTAATCACATCTAATTTTCTCCTTTCTGTTTTTGTCCTGTTCACAGCATTATTACGCAGACAATACCCACTTCTATATGTCATTTTATCCGAATGAATGTAATCAAGAGGTTGCAATATCACGTAGGACGAAATATCTCCTTATTTTTCTTGTTGACAAAGTGAACATATTGTTTTGACGAAATACCTTTATTATTAACTTGAATTACATGCTAATTATATAATAGTTAGCGAAGGACTAGGCATACGTCGCAGTTAGAAATATTCATCTTGCTTCTCATGCACATTCCGATTTTATAATCTAATATGTAGGTCATTGTTATACAAACTATTTCTGCGTAATCATTAGATTTGGTGACTAATAAAGAGCAGTCGAGTATGTGTAAATAACTAAAATATACGTTAATTTTTTATGACAAAAAACTTGTTTAAGAACTATCCCGGTTCCTATTACAAGGAAAGTGCGTGCGTTCTCCACAATAATAATAACCTTATATAATTGTAATAAAAATGATATTTTTTATTTTCTTTTAATATCTCGATTATTTAAAAATAAAAATGTAATGTTTATTTAAAACTTTTAAAATAAAAAATATAAATTTTAATTTTTCTAAAAGTTGCTTGTGGTTTATTCCTATCTATAAAATATTCATTAAGAACATATCACAAGAAAATATGTAGTTTCATTACCATTTTTTACGTGTTCATAACAATTACAATTTAAAATATGTTTAAAATACAATAGTTTAATAATAAACATACTAAAATGTAGTTTATTTCAGGAAATGTAGTGTGTTATTACGCAGGCAGTTTTGGAATTAAAGTAGCGCCACCTGAATCAATAGACACAAACTTATGCACCCACCTAAATTATGCATTTGTAAAAATAAATGAAAATGGAACCTTGATCCACAATAAATATGTAGATATTAAGAAAGGTAAGTAAACACAAAATTTATTCAACAAACAAAAAGTTTAACGTATATGTATTATTTATATAAATTTTGAATCCTAATAAAACGTACTTACCATTTAGTGAAAGTGTTTTGGTTTGTTTGTGAAAGTGTACTGAAGGATCAGAACAAATAGACAAGAATATAAAGAAGAATACAACAAATTAAGGACTGAATGTAAGAAACAAATAAGAAAAATTAAACGAACCTGGTTAAATGATAAGATAAATGAAATAGAAAAAGAAAACAGAAATAGAAACACAAAAGCATTTTATAAGAAAATTAGCGAACAGAAAAAAACCTTCAAAGGAAAGATAAAAGGCATAAAGGATAGAAATGGAAAAGTATCAGAAAATGACAAAGAGTTTAAAGAAATCTGGACTGATTATTTTAAAGAATTATTAACAGTACAAGAGGACGAAGACTATAATAAAAATGTGGAAGAAGAGACCACGATGATAGAAACCGAGCTAGAAAAACCAACGAGAGATGAAGTTGAGGAAATTATAAACAGTAATCGCAACGGTAAAGCACCAGGTATAGACGGTATAAACATGGAACTAATAAAATATGGTGGATATGAACTCAGAGAAAAAATATACCAATTAATAAAAGTCATATGGGACGAAGAAAAGATGCCAAAAGAATGGCACAAAGGACAAATTATCACAATCCATAAAAAAGGAGACCAACAAATGTGTAATAATTATAGAGGACTGACATTGTTAAACACAGCGTATAAAATCATGTCAACCTTAATACAACGAAGACTGGCCAAAGCGACAACAAATATCATGGGACAGTATCAATGCGGATTTATTAGGAGAAAGTCAACAACAGATGCCATACATACGGTAAAGCAAATTATGGAGAAAGCTTATGGATATAAAATAGAAATTGAACTGCTTTTTATAGACTTCCAACAAGCATTTGATTCAATAAACAGAGCGCAATTACTTACAGCTATGAGAAAAATAAGAATACACAGCAAATTAAGACGATTAATAAAAATGACAATGAGCAAAACCGTAGTAACTGTAAAAACACAAGAAGGAGACACAGAAGAATTTGTTATAAATAAAGGTGTACGTCAAGGAGATTCATTATCTGCAACTCTGTTTAATCTTGCCCTGGAATATATAGTCAGAAAAATCAACAAAGGTACACTTAGAACGAGAGAGGGACAAATAATAGCATATGCCGACGATATTGTGATAATAACAAAGAACAGAAAAAAATGGAAAGTATGTTAAAAGAATTGGTAGCAGAAGGGAAAGTAATGGGATTAGTAATAAATCAAGAAAAAACAAAAAATAATGAGATTTGACAAAAAATATGAAAACAAAAAGGTTAGACTGGGAGAATATATATTTGAAGAAGTAGAAAAGTTTAAGTATTTGGGAATATTATTAGCAAACAATGGAGAAAGGGAAACAGAAATTAAAGAAAGGATAATATATAAAACAATAATTCGACCGACTATAATGTATGCTGCCGAAACCCTTAGCATGACAAAAAACAAGAGGAAGACCTTAGAATACTAGAAAGGAAAATACTAAGAGCAATATTAGGACCAATAAAAATTAATGAAAACCAATATAGACAAAGAACGAATCATGAACTACTAAACGAAATTAAAGAGGATATAGTTTGTAAAATAAAACAGCAAAGGGCAAAATGGCTAGGACATATGGAGATCAGGACCATCTACGACAATATTCTCAATATTGAAATGGACACCAGCTGGTAAACGAAGACGTGGAAGACCAAGATCTACATGGCTACAAGAAGTAACAAACGATCTCAACAGGGCGGGCGTACGACAATGGAGAGAAAAAACCAGAGATAGGAAACAGTGGAGAAAAATAACAAGAAAAAATAAATAAAGAAAATGAGGACTGATCTACCTCGTAAAATAGATCTAGAGAGCTTAAGCGGCGTAACCCCGTACGGGGTATTTAGCCACAATATATATATATATATATATATATATATATATTATATATATATATATATATATATATATATATATATATATATATTTTACTAGATTAAACTCTAACTAAATCCGAATTACTTAATTTTCTCCAACAAATTCCCTTACCTCGAATATTCAGGGAAGATTTTAATCGCCATAACATTACATGGGGATCAAATCAAACAACACCGAGGGGAAATATGTTAGAAAACGTTTTTAACACTATGAATCTATGCCTAGTCAACGACGGCTGCCCAACAAAATTCAATATGGCTTCGGGAACATCCGCCATTGATCTCACCATATGTGAATCTTTGATCCAATTCGATTGGGTAGCATTAAAATATTTATCCACCTTGATATGTCCACCTTTGTAGCAATACCAAAACCAGTATATGCCAAAGATTGTTCAGACTATAGGACAATATCACTAATAAGCCATACCTTCAAAATATTTCTAGACATTCTAGACATTCGACTTCGAGAAGGCATTGGACAGGGTCCGACATGAAAAACTAATAGAAGTACTAAGAAACAAAGATATAGACAGACGAGACTTGCGAATCATTATCAATCTGTATTGGAATCAAACGGCCAATATAAAGATAGAAGAACAAAAGTCCGAAAATATAGATATAAAGAGAGAAGTAAGACAGGGCTGTGTTCTGTCACCATTACTGTTTAACATGTACAGTGAAGCCATATTCCAGGAAGCGATAGCGAATCTGGGTGATGGAATCTCTGTAAACGAAAGAATAGTAAATAACATAAGATTCGCTGATGACACCGTTATAATGGCACACCCTGGAATCGCTACAAGACTTGGTAAATAGAATTAACGATTATTGCATTAGATACAGACTAAAAATAAATAAGATAAAAACTAAATTTATGATTGTCTCAAAAACGCAACATGGAAATGAAAGATTAATGATAGAGCAAACCCAAATAGAAAAAAGTAGAGAAATACAAATATCTGGGAACCTGGATTGATGACAAAAAGGACCAAAGCAGAGAAATTAAAGTCCGAATTGAAACTGCAAGACAAGCATTTGTGAAAATGAAGACAATGCTTACCAACAGACACCTTCAGTTGCATCTCAGATTGAGGGCTCTAAGATGTTACATATTTTTCTATCTTACTATACGGAATGGAAGCTTGGACATTGAAGAAACAACATATAAGAAAAATAGAAGCGTTCGAAATGTGGTGTTACAAAAGAATATTAAAAATTCAGTGGGTTCAGGTTGCCTGAAGGAAACAATATGGAGAAATAAAAACATCGGCAAAAAAATAAAAGGCAGCATTTACAAAACAGTCATCAGAACAATAATGACATACGTGGCTAAAACACGACTTGACACAGAAATGATGTTATAAACAGCAGAGATGAAATCACTGGTGATAAAACACTATGGGACAGAGCAAGAAGTACAGATGTACGACGTAGATTCAAGATGAAATACATCAGGCTCTGGGTAAGAAATAGAAGAGTAGAATGAAACGATTATATAAGCCGAAGGCGACGATCAGTAGGAAGACAACGAAAACGACAACTTACTGACAGCACATTGAAAAACAGACAGAGGCATGTCTATATAAAAAGAAGAAAAAGAAAAAGAAACAATTATAAACAAACTGACGAATCCGGTAAACCTTTATTAATATTCATCATCATCAATTAGCCTATGTTTGTCCACTGCTGAACGTAGGCCTCCCGTAAAATTTTCCACCTATTTCTGTCTTGAGCTTCTTGCATCCAGTTTGTGGTGATGCGCTTGATATCATCCTTCCATCTAGTTGGCCGTCCATCTTATTAATATTGACATGACAATATTATTGGTGGTTAGTAGATAACAGCACAGTACGCCCCTCAGTGTCAATGGGGATATAATTTAATAAGTTAGGAGGTTTTATTTACTGGTCTCGGAGAATCATTAAATATCAAATGAGATTGCAACTAATAAGTAAAAGGACAGATAGGCTCTTCTTCTTTATAGGCATTTACCATTAACTACCAGAATAGGGTTCCCTAATTTTATGTACAGCCTACTAAGCTGTATGGAGTCGAAACTTGGTCACTTAAAGCGAAGACTTCAAATAGGGTAGAAGCCTTAGATGGCATTGAACCTCATTTTTTATGAATTAGAAAAATACGTTCATTTTACTGGCATCTTTTCTTTTTTCCAGATACACTTAATTATCCTGCACTTATCATATTTGCTCCAGGGCCTTTATTGTTCTTTAAGTCCTAAATTATGTTCATTATTTCTTGTTCTTTTGATTTGTCTGTTTGGTTTGATAATTTTTGCATGACTCTTCGTCATATACAATTAACTCTAAAACTTAATTAACTTCCTGGTAGAAATAGTTAATTTCTTTTATGAAGGACTTTTTTAAGATATCTTGGATTTTTATGTCATTGTATTGTCTTTTTAAAGCTCTGCATTATTTCTTAGACTCCCTTTGGTTTCATTTTTAGATCTTTTCGATGGTTTCATTATGATTGGATAACATGGCCTGTCTTGCTTTGGATTTTGCTCTCGCTAGATCTCTATATTCCTTATTAAACCAGTCCTTAACTTATTTATTTTTTTCTCATATCCAAGCACTTTTTTGTCTCCAATTCGTCATGTTACAACTTCAAATGTAGGTGCTGCTAATATTTCGTTCTTATACAGATCATGACATTGATTTATTGACCATAGAACATAATGGCAATCGCTGTGACATGTTACACATTTCCACCTCTATATTCATTTCACAGTAGGTACGAATTGTTCTAATTGTCACATTAACATTATAAATTTCAAACGAAGTTCTGAAAGAATAAATAAATAATTAATAAAATGCCTATTACGTTGTATACCGTACAAGAAAACGTGCAACTTGTAACATGGTACTTTCAGGGTCAATCTATACGCGAAGTAATTGATTTATTTATTGTTGCCTTCGAAAATAGATCCCCATCAAGTGTTACAACAGTTAAAAATACCATTAAATATTTTCAAACTTCGGGATCTGTAAACAGTTGTAAAAAGTGTCATGAAGGTAATGAACCACGTGTTAGACCTGTCGATGAGGAGCATCAAAACAGGGATATTGATATTTATGCTTTTGTGGAAGCTAGTCAACCCTGCAATAGTGTACAAATTGCTAGAGAAGTTAACGTGAATGCTCGAACTGTCCAGCGAGTTCTCAATATGAATGGGTATCACTGTTTAAGATACAACATAATACAACATAATATTAACATAAGTACTGTTTCCGGAAGATAACTGTAGGCGGATAGAGTTTTGTGAATTTATGTTAGATAACTAGAATAAGAATCTACACTTTTTAAAAAATATTTTAATTTCTGCCAAGTCATCATTTTCATTACATAAACAACACAATCCATCCGTTGCAAGGTATTGCAGTGTTGCAGTGCGAACGCAGCATCCGCAAAAGTTAAATGTTTGGATTGGGATGTTAGGCGACCATATTTTATCGATGGAAATAAAACGGGCACAAATATTTTTGGAAATGTTTACAGAATGAGATCATTCCGGCAGTTCGACGCCTTCCCGTTAATTATCAGGAGGTTTATTTGCAACAGGATGGGTGTTCGGCTCACAACTCCAGAGCAACCATTGACTTTCTCAATCGAACATTTCCTGATCGACTGATAAGTACGCGTGGTACAATTAAATAGTCCTCTAGATCCTGTGAATTAGTGCCTAACGATTTCTTTTTTTGGGGTTTTCTCAAAAAAACATTTATAGGAATCAGTTTGAAAGGACCACAAAACTAGTCGATAAGGGCAAAAATACTTCATTTCTCTGCAAGAATTATACTAGCTCTACTCCAAAATATAAGGAGAAATCTATATAACAGGTTTGGTTACTGTTTTGCATAAGGAGGTGGAATATTTGAGCTCTTAATTCATTAATCTGCTTTCCTAATTTTTATTTCTTGTTAGGTACGTTTTAGGAAGTTTGTAGGTTCTAAATTAGGTAGTATTTTTTATGTTTAAGTTTGGAAGAATTTTATTGTTTTTTTTTATTTAAAAGTAGAAACAATTCTTATTCTGATTTTTTTTCTTCTTTCTTGTCTAATTGTTATAAGCTTTGTCCATAAAATTTGTATAATTTTCAGTGACAATCAAGCATATTACTTATTTATTTGTCTTGCTATTCAGGCAAAAAAATAACCAAAACATTAGTTTTAGAGCACTATAATAAATATTTTCAAGAGAAGGGATTGCAATAAATCTTAATTCCTATGATCAATAAAACAATGTCGTTATCTGTATGTTTGTCCTTTATTTTGCTATTTCTATATATCGGAATGCTTTTGCTTGATATCTAAACTAATTTTTTTTTATCCTGCTATTTCCGCAAAATTTATTTTTAAGATATGATCAGTTCCACAGTCCGTCTCTCTCATACTCATAACTGTTGTACTAATCTGTTGATATTTTTGTTTAATCAAGACATGGTCTATCTGGATAGTAGTTTTACCATCAAGGGACAAACATGTTTCTCTTCATTGGTTTCCTCCTTTATACTATTTGCTCCTGCAACTGACTTATATATAGGTTTATTTCTTATTTTCTTATTACAATCTCCCGGAGCTATATTTATATGATTCGGAGCTCTTCTGCTAATAATTTGTAGAATATGTCTTTGTTCTCAACGTTATTCTTTTCGGTCGGAGTAAATATATTTAGCATGCTTTTGCTTGTCTTTCTTTCTATTATTCTTTAAGAGCACGTTCATTAGCTTTAGCTGCTTTGCAAGGAAGAATCCAGTGCTTAATTGTTATCATTTCCTCAACGGAACAATATTACATTGTTCATTTCATTTGTTTAGTCTTCTTTTCTGAACATATCTATTTTATACCCACTCTTGTAAGTTCCTCCCACGTTCTATATAGCCATCTGTATTCTTACTCCGTCACAGTTACTTAATAAATTTTCTGTATTCGTTTCCATTTTCTTTGCAATGGTCATTTTTTTCTGTGCATTTGTTTTCTTTATTAATTGTTTTACTTTTTTAAGATGCATATCTCCACTTCAATTATTATTTTTCCATTTCTCCTTTCTTCGTGTATCCTCTATCTCATTGAGTTTTGCACATTTCTATCAATGAATTTCTTCCTGTTTTAAAGATTTTGTATTTAATAAGGCAGAATAATGGTAAGACCAGCAAGTGGTATACCAAAATGTCAACCTATTAGGCTTGAATGGCTAAATATTACTAATTTTTGTCTTATTTAATATTTTTTATTAATTTAAACATTTTTTAATGGGATTTTATTATAGTAAGACTCACTATAATAATAAAACTTTACATAATTTTTTTATGTCGTAGAAATGTATAAACGGGTGATATCGCTTAAAAAATTAAATCCTAAACTGAAAATTCTTATAAGTATTGGAGATACACCTGCTGCAGTATTTTCTGAAGTAGCTGCGGATACGGATAAAAGACAAAGCTTAATACAAAACACCATCGACTTTCTTCAGTTACATGGTTTCGATGGAGTAGATATTGACTGGGAAAAGCCTTACAGTAAGGATGAGGTAAGCACTATAATAGTAAAATTCCTACGTGGTGTCAAGATATAATGTTAAATTTTATCGAGTAGAAAATTATACTGTGCACATATATCTCACCTGTTGAAATAAAAAAATATATATTATTGATAGTTATTAAAATTGCTTACAGGAAAATTTCATTTACCTTTTGAAAGAATTTAAGAAGGCATTGGAAACAAAAAACTACATGCTAAGTGTTGCAGTATATCCTTATCCTGATACAGGTTACATTGTACCAAAAATAACAGAGTAAGTATATGAAAGTCAGATCATTTTTAATTAAATTATTGTAACTCTTGGCCTTATATTAAATATACGTTGAAGGAGAGTTGTAATCTGGTTTTTGCTATTTTTCTATTTCTATTTCGCCATAATCAACTTCATCATATAAACTACCAAATAACTCTATAAGCCTCCCGTACGTCTTTGGTGTATCTTCTATTCCAATCTGAGAAACAAGCGTCTGTATCTATACTTATCCCAAATATCGCCATTGTAATTGTAAATCACCATAAAGTATAGAATAAGAACAGAGGAAATATGTAACAAAATGGAAGTAGAATGCTTAATTACAAAAATATTAGAAAACAGTTGTCCAAAAAATATTTGAGTCGGATCCGCCTGGAAGAATACGGAGAGGAACACCTGCTATAAGATTAAAAACGTACATAGGAAATTCGGGAATTCAGAAAAGGTGAATGTGAGAATAGAGTGATTAGGAGGATGAAAATGACGAACTCATAATGAAAAAAAGCCGAAGAAGAAAAAAAATTTTAAGAGCAGTTTCTTAAATAAACTTAATAATATTGGTCTGTATGAAGAGACCAAGTTTGGAGGTTGCCCTGGTTTAAAAGTCACAATAACTTCTTTCCCGTCTTTTAAGCATCTGCCACGTACCTTAGTCTAAATGCTGAGTTTATTAAGTATTAAGTATTTTGCCAGATATTAAGTCGTACTCAGGAGCTTGTTTAATATTAAGGTTTGTTTTTATATCTTCTATACCTTCCTTTAGGAGGTGTCAGTTAAATTTTTGTTTTTTCAGGTTTTGGTAGAGCTCCTCATCTATGATTTTATTCACATGTAGTTAAACCACTTTTGTCTGAATGAATAGCACGTCGGTGCTATTCATTTGCACGTCGGCAAATCGGTGTCTGATGTTCTATAATGGAACAATGGATATATAAGCAATTTTTTTTTATTTTTCTCGTAGCCTTCCAGATCGAATATTCAATTTTTTCTCATCATTGAATACCTGTGTTAATTATCTGTTTATAGATTCTTCTCTATAGCAAAAAGTGGTAAGGCCACCGGTCCTGATGAAATTCCCGTATAACTGCTCAAACTTATGGACGATGAATCTATTAAAATACTCCTAGATCTATTTAACACAACATAATGGAACTGGAATAATACCTAGGGAATGGCTCCGTTCGACCTTTATACTACTGCCAAAAAAGGCAAATACAAAGGAATGCAACGAATATCGTACGATAGCTTTGATGAGTCATGCTCTAAAACTGTTCTTAAAAATAATCCATAATAGGATCTATAGGAAATTGGACGTAGACATCAGTAACACTCAGATGGGATTCAGAAAAGGGCTGGGTACAAGGGAGGCTCTGTTTGCAATGAACGTTCTCTCACAGAGATGCTTAGACATGAACAAGCACTCGAGGAAGAAGATCTTGGTCTGATAATAAATGGTGAGACGATCAACAATATAAGGTATGCTGATGATACAGTTCTCCTAACGGGAACGCTAGTAGAACTACAACATCTCGTTCAAAGTCTCAATATATACTGTAACAGTTACGGCTTGAAAATTAATTTAAAAAAAACTAAATTTATGGTAATCACGAAATCAAAGAACATCAGAGCTAATCTTGTAATAGACTATACAACGATTGAGCGTGTGTCCTGTTATAAATATCTACGTGCTTGGATCACAGATGATACTGATCAAACAAAAGAGATTAGATGTAGAATAGAAATCGCTAGATCAGTCTTTAATAGAATGCGCAAACTCTTTTGCAATCGTGATATCAATATAAAGTTACGAATACGAATGCTGCGGTGTTATGTCTTTTCTACCCTGTTATATGGAGTTGAGGCTTGGACACTAAAACAGTTGACCATAAAAAACATCGAAGCTTTCGAGATGTGGTGCTATAGGCGCATTCTCAGAATATCATGGATGGACCGCGTCACTAACTCGCAAGTACTCCAAACTTCAGACAAAAGATGCGAAATTCTAAATGAGATAAAAACTAGAAAGATGGAATACTTGGGGTACATTGTGAGAGGTGAAAAGTACGAACTTTTAAGAAACATCATGCAGGGCAAAATTAAGGGCAAAAGATGTGTGGGAAGAAGAAAAATATCGTGGCTTCGTAATCTACGTGAATGGTTCAGGTGTAGTTCGAACAAAGTCGCAGTGTCCATGATGATTTCCAGTCTCCGCTAGGAGTGGCACGAGAAGAAGAAGAAGAGATTTTTCTCTGTGTTTTTGAATTCCTCTATATTTCTATATCAGTCATCTATATTTCTATATCAGTCGTAATTGATTTCATCGAGCTAGGGTTCTGTGCTAAAAAGCTTGTAGGTTTTCTTTTTCTAAAGATGATTTTTTTGCTACGGATGTTAGCGATTAAAATTGCTAGTTTCACTTTATTTGCTACAGCTTTAAATCGTTGCAAAGTGGTAGATACTAAAAACCATTTTCTAATACTATAGAGCGAGGAAATTCTTTAACTATCAGCAACTACCAACTATCCAGACCTCTTTTGGTTTGTACTTCTGCTTGCAATATTAGTTGCAGTAGACCATCATTATCATTAATCAGTCAATCGCGTATAAAGTGAAATGTAGAAAACAGAATATATCAATTTATCTAAATATATTTGTATAAATAATAAAATAATGCTATTAACATTATTAGTATTTTATATATATATATATATATATATATATATATATATATATATATACATATATAAATATATATCCTCACTGACAATATTTTAAACGTTTCAGTAATGTTCATATGATTAATATAATGTGTTACAACTTTTACGGCCCTTGGAGTATTTACACTGGTCATAATGCAGCTCTCTTTGCTTCGCCAGTTGAAAGTTCTTATGAAAAAAATCATCTTAATACAGCCATGTGTCTTCAAAACTGGTTAAAAGCTGGAGCCACTAAGGAAAAAGTTAACGTCGGAATACCTTTCTATGGACGAACCTTTACTCTTGCGGATCCCAATGATCATGGTTTTCATGCTCCTATTACGGGTTCTGGCAAACCATCAACGGCAACTTACAGGCAGGTAAGTTCAAAGAACAATTACCAAGAATTGTTAGGATAATATATGTATTATAAAAAGAATATTGTTCTGAAGCTATATTTTTATCTTTAATTGTGGCTTATTCCCAGTTTAATAGTAATTAATAAAAAGAATAGTTTATTTGATTATATATAAAATATTTTATGAAAACTTGTAGTTGGTTTCAACTATGCTGTCTTCAAACGTAAGGCGTTACTTTCGTTTTGATCTAATACAAACACTCCTTTCGTTTCCGGTTGGAGTTCTGTTTGCATGTATTAGCTCTAGAATGACCACAATTACCAACCATAACGGATTTAATGAGTCTTTTGCGGTTTAACCTTAATTTGGCTTGTACTAAGACATGCTTTTTCTTCTTATAGTGCCGTGTACCTATAATGCGTTGGCGAATTATCTTAAGGCCAGACGTCTGTCTGTTGCGGCATTCAAAAGATCGCCAGTGTTAATTATGCCTGTCCAGTTCCTTATATTCCGTAGCCACCACATTTGTTTGCGACCTACTCCTCTCTTACCTTCAATCTTTTCCTGGATGATTAGTTGAGGGATTGCGTATTTTTTTCCTATCAGACTATGTCCGAGGTATCCACTTTTTCGTACCTTGATCAAATTGAGTAGTTCTCTCTCAGTATTTGCCTTCCTTAAGACTTCCTCGTTTCTCACCCTATCTGTGCATGGTATGCGGAACATTCTTCACAACGTCCACATTTCGAATGCCTCTAGCTTATTAATGGTAGGTACTCTTAACGTCCATGTTTCCATGCCGTATAACAATATGGACCATACATAGCATTTAACCATCCTGTAGCGGATATTAAAGAAAAGATTGCGGTTACATAGTAGCGGTTTAAATTGGATAAAAGCTTGTCTTGCTTGTTCGGTACGGCATTTTATTTCTTGTTGAGGATCCCATTGGTCATTTATCATCATTATGAGATGTCCTAAGCTGCATCACTTCCAGATGAATTCCGGATCTATTAGATTTCTCATCAGATGACAGTATTGCAGATCCAAATTTTGTCCCTTCGCAGTATGAAAAATATGATAGGCTTGCCAAGGACAGCGATATAATGAAAATAAATAAGAAAAGAGCCAATTCAAAAGAAGATATAAATAATACTTTAGTAAACCAATATAACTTAGATGGAAAAGTCCGCAAGAAAGTTAATAAACGCGCAAACAAAGAAACGAGAAAAATGAAACAGGAAAGACGAGAAAAATGAAATTTTAGTAACGTGTATGTTACAAGAACTGGAAAAGCGATTAAAGAAAAAACTATGCAAGAGCTGAAATTATGTCGGAATAAGTGCAAGGAAAAAATAAATGACGAAGTTCTTTTCCAACTTTTCAAAAAATTCTGGAAAATGGGAAGCTACAATCGTAGGTTAGAATATATAGCTGCTGTCATGATGTTAAAAAGAAGAGTTCTATGCGAATTAGGTGTTCTGACCCAAACAAACAACGATACCAACAGCATACCATAATTTATCATTTTCCTGTTTATGGCGTTCATTCTGTTGTTTGCAAGGACTGTTTTATGAAAACTTAATACTAGTAAGAAATTCATAGAAGTTACAACAGCAAAAAATGTTCACAAATATCATCATGACATTAGACCAACCAGGATATCATGAAAATCGAAAAAAGGTATTGGATGTTAAGAAAATAACGGCAAGTGATCACATTTTATCTATACCTTTATATATACTTATTTACCTTTACACTACACACTCTACTGCTATTTATGAAGCTTACAAGAAGATATACCTAGATCATTTTATCATTATAAAGAAACCTAAGAAAGACACATACAGTGCATGTGACAAATTAAAAATGAAAATTAATTACAAGCCAATCAAGAATATAAAAGCAAAGAAGATAAATTTCTGACTTTTTTTTAGTACTAGGCCATACAAATCTGGAGTGCCATACGGATCATATGTAGTTTAATAGAAAAAAACGAAAAAACTATTTAGTAGTCAAATAGAACTTCCAAATGATTGGGCTCCACTAATTCGGCAAGTTGTGAAAAAACATCAATTTTTAGTTAGAGAAATGCAGCACTTTGCGTTTCTTAATTTTGGTGACTCATTTAATTCCATACTAGTTAACAACAAAACTAATACTCAGAATAAAAAGATAAACTGGAGGCAGTTTCGATGATTACAGTATGAAAAATCTAAACAGTTTCAATACAAGTTGTCCGTTGACAAAAAAGAAACTTTTAAGACGGTAAATTTAAGAGAGGTGAAAAGCAGTTGCAAATCTATTACCCAAGAAGGCATAAAACAAGCCTGTGCCTATAACGATAGAAAAGAAACAGCACCTGATGGACTTACTGCCGTACATATCAGAATCACTATGGGACTTTTACAAAAATCTACCCACAGCTAAAGAGTCAAACAAATATCGCTTTACACATATTTCGTTCCCAAATACTTAGCAAACAAATATTAATGCATTTAGGAAAAGTACATATAAACAAAAATTTCAAGTAGATTATCATTCTTAACAACTGTAAAAAAAATAATTTTTTTGGAAAATTTTAAATAGTGTTTTTCTCCGAGTTTTATGACTTGTCCACCTTTTCACGCGAAACAGCGATTTAACTTAGACATATCACAAGAATACAGTTTCAAAACCTTTAATTTTTATTTTTAGATCTGTTCAAACTTTGGGAACTATACAAGTGTATGGGATGATACACAAAAAGTATACTACAAGTATTATGAAGATCAATGGTTGACCTATGAAGAAGAAAGATCAATTAAAGAAAAGGTTAGTATGATTCAAATTATCAACAATTTATTATAATTATAGTATTTTAATTTGGATGGTATATACACATATTGGTACTTTTGTCATGGTTGGCAGTTGTCGAATTAGTACAGAGTGTAGGGAATAAGGGAATAATGAAAATTTAAGCTTAGAACCATAGTTCACGTAGAAACCTATAATTTTATTGGTGAAATACTTTATTTTTGATCAAGTATAGATTGTATTAATATTAGCAATGTCTTCTCAAATAGTTTGGAGATAATTGGTAGCAATGGTATTGTTCTATATGAATCTACTTTATTTATTGTTTCTCCCTGTTTTAATGTTATTGGTATGTATTATAACTTAAATGCTGCATTTATACCATTTTTTGACAGTCAGTGGTCTGTAAATCAAATTCTGAGGTTTTTTTGGGAATAATATTATTTTTATGATATTGTAATCTTTCTCGGATCATGGACAAACTGGCTCTATGTAGAATGTTTTCCAACCTTCTGCTTGAATATGCTGGACGTAACTTCAAGCCCTTTGGTATTAAGTTGTTGTCTCTACATCTTCGTAAAAATTTAATTGAATTTTGACAATGTGCCAGTTTCTTGTATAGAACTTCCGATCTCCGAAAATTTTGAATAACGCTGAGCCCATAACGGTTTCTTAATATTGTTCTGAAGCTATTTTCTTGTGGCATTTTAAATTAATTACTATTTAAATGGGAATAAGTAACAATTAAAGATAAAAATACGTTTATTGTATTTAAATTTACTGTTTATATTTTGAGAAATACACTCATTGTATTTTGAGAACGATTTCCGAAGTGGAAATTGAAACGTCAATAAACATATTTTTATCATTAATTGTGGCTTATTCCCAGTTAAATAGTAATTAATTTAAAATGCCACAAGAAAATAGCTTCAGAACAATATTATTTTTAATTACTTTGTTTATTTCTTCTGTTGTGATAGTGTTTATTACTCCCTGGTCAGTACTGATTACTTGGTGTTCTGCGTCCTAGTTATCGTCATTTTCTACTTGATTAATATTTTCAATATAGTAATTTTGGAATATATTCTCCATGTTCACTAAGATTTAGAAATTTCATTATAAACGTTAAGACTTACCCTGGAACAGATATTCCATCAGACCATAACCTCCTTGTCTCAAAAATGAAACTGAGGATAAAAAAGATAATAAAATCCAGAAGTTCTAAGGTAAATACTTATTTCCTCAAGATAAACGAAACACGTACTGAGATTTCAAGTTAGTTGAATTAAGAAATAATAAGAGTAACATTAAAAATGAAGAACACTGAGAATGTGTGAACATTATGTGGAGCAAAATCAAAGATTGTGTTTGAAAGACACAGAACGAGACTTTAAAAAAGAAAGAAGAAAGCCGAAAACCTTGGATAACTCAAGAAATACTGGAAATCATAGAAGAAAGAAGAAAATATGGAAACAAAACCCAGATAAATAAAGAGTAAAACATCAATTAATAAGGAACAAAATAAAGAGGTCAAGGAAGAGCGGATGATGAAAATATGCATTGAAATAGACGAATTGCAGAAAAACCATGATCATTATAATTTACATAAAAAAGTCAAAGAATTATTATCTGAAAGATCATGAACAATCTCACCTTACCAGTTAATTGACAAAAACAATTAATAACCCAACTCAAGTAAAAAAGTATGAACTAAATTATATTGAAGATTTTTTCATGGATACAAATTGATAGCGAGGAAGCTGTAATAATATTAAAATCTGAAGTCCAACACGCTACAAACAACTCAAAATCTGGCAGTTTACATCGAACTGATTAAACTTATAGATGAAGACAATTTAAGCGTAATAACTATCCTCTTTAACAACATATACAAATCTGATGAAATACTTACAGAATGGCTACGTTTGTGTCGCTATCACAAATTAAAAAAATCCCAAATACTGTAATGGCTATGGATTATTCGGCTCAATGTCACAACCATTGAAAACATTTTTATATGCATGCAAGAATATTCAAAAAGTGTGAAGCGGAGATGAGTAATGGACAGTTGTTTTTGTTATGGCTTTAGAACAGTAGAAGCTCTGTATAGTTTCACAACTCTTGCTCAAAAATGTCGAGACCAATAAAGAAGATATTTTCATTGCATTTATAGACTATGAGCAAGCTTTCAACAACGGAATGCCAACAGATAAATAGAGGTGTGAGAGACGGGTGTGTACTTTCACCATTACTATTTAATATATACTCCAAAGAATTATTTACTCAAGCACTTTATAACGGTACAGAAGAGATCAAGATAAATAGTAAAAATATAAATAACATTCGTTATGCAGACGTTATGCTAATGTGGAAAGAATTAGAAAAGGACTTTTAAAAAAAGGTCGACGATACAGTCATTATTACTGAAAATGAGAAAGACCTGTAGTCGCTACTAAACACAATTTGTGATGCTGGGGAATAGTTTGGTTTAAAAAGGAGGATAAAGTCATAACAAGGATCCAGATATAATATTAATAACGAAGATATTAAATAAGTGGACAAAATGAAGTCGTTAGGAGTTTGGATTAATTATTATCTAATTCCGAAATCAAAAATTCGATCAATCAAGAGCAGCCTTTTTAAAGACGAGGAAAGTTCTAAGTAACCAAAGTCTCAATCTGCAAATCTGATACCATATGGTGTGTTATATCCACTCTATTCTTCTTTCTTCTAAATGTGCCTATCTTCTAAATATGTTGGCGACCATATTGACCCATCTTATACTATTCACAGCAGCTCGAAATAGATCAGTTGATGTTAGACCAGTCCATTTCCTAAGATTGGCCAGCCAGGATATACGTCTACGTCCAGGGCCTCTCTTACCCTCTATCTATTTTAGGATATTGATTAGTTTCCCATGTGGAACTTTATCAAATGCCTTCTCGAAATCAATGACACATGCAAACACATCGCAGTTGACATCCCTGGCTCTCTGTATTAGAACTTGCAAATTAAAAAGTGCTTCCCTCGTTTCAAGTCTTGCTCTGAATCCAAATTGAACTTCACTCAGGTGTTCTTCTAATTTGGTGTATATGCGCTAGTGAATGATAGTAAGGAGTACTTTAAGTACATGGCTCATCAAACTAATGAATCTATATTCTTCACATTTTCTAGCTTTGGCTTTTTTAGGAAGTGAAATGAATATTTGTAGTAGCCAGTCTTTTGGTAAGTAACCAGTCTCGTAGATGTTGTTGAATAGCTTCGTAAGATCTGTGATTTGGTGTGACTCTAATAGCTTTAAGATTTCACCATGCAGCTCATCAGGTCCTGGTGATTTTTCATCTATAATCCACTTAATGGCCATAGTTACTTCTTCGTTTGTTATTTCTGGGCTGTAGGGATTGTGTATTTCAGTGGAACTTCGTGCTGCATCTTCGAATAATTCTTGCATATTCTTGCATAATGGTAGTCAAAATTTGGCCTTTAATATCTATTTAACTATTCTTCTTTATGGTACCGAAACTTGAACTATTAATGTCGACTTAATGAGAAAGATGGAAGCTTTTAAGATGTGGCCTTTTAGAACAATTTTGATAATACCATATACCGATCATATTACAAACAAAATAGTGTTGCACAGAATGGGAAGAGGCAGAGAACTGTTGACCACCCTTAAAGAAAGCAAGACTATATATTTGGAACACATACTTAGAAATGAGAAGTACGTTGAAACGACGAAATGAGAGTTGTTGTGACTGATTATAAAGGGTAAAATCAAAGGAAAGAGGGGTCCTGGTAGACGACATATGTCCTGGCTGAAGAACATTCCCAACTGGACCGGGTTAAATACACAGACGCTTTTAAGAAAAGCCGAATCTAGTGACGAATTTGCAATGGATATAGCCAACCTTTATTAATGGAGTCGGCACTGGAAGAAGAAGAAGATTCTCTACGTATGAAGCTAAGATTTGCATTTTATTTTTCGTCACGTTGCTGCTTTTCTTCTTTTTTTTTTCTAAAACAAAATCTAGAATTTTTTAGGGAAGTTTTGACCTAAGTCAACCTGATGCCGAATTCTGATTCAATGATTAAAATTTTGTGTGGATGAAATTTATGAAACCATAAGTTTACTTCCAGTTTAGAGAAAGATGAATACTACATTAACTTGAATATTAGGATTTGCTCTCTCTCTCTCTTACACACTCTCTCACTCTCTCTCTCTTTCTTTCATTCCCTCTTTCTCTCTATCTATCAGTTTATCTATCTATCTATCTCTTTCTATTGGGCATTATTTCCTTCTTCTTCTTCAGATGCAAATCCACTAGTGGATGTTAGCGATCACATTTGCCATTAATTCTCTATTTCTTGCAATATGTATCAGAGATTGTATATCGTTAATCCCTATCCATTGCCTTATGTTTCGGAGCCAGGACATTTTCTTGCGTCTCATTCCCCTTTTTCCTTCAATTTTACCCTCGATTATAAGTTGGAGGAACTGGTATTTTTCATTTCACATTATGTAACCTAGATACGCTGTTTTCCTTTTCTTGATGGTTTCGAAAAATTGGCATTCTTGGCGATAGAGCCACATTTCGAAAGCTTCTAATCTGTTTATATCCCTCGTTTTGAGTGTCCAGCCATCTACGCCATATAGCAGCACTGACCACACGTAGCACTTAGTAAACCTTAATCTTAATTGAAGATCGAACTCTGAACAAGTCAGTACCTTCTGAATTTTACGAAAACTTGTCGAGCTTGCTCAATGCGACATTTTACTTCCCTGTCCGATGCCCAGTCTTCAAAAAGCCACGATCCCAGGTATTTAAAATTAACTCACTCTTTTAATGGACTTAGTATTCAGTGTTATGGTGGAGTTTTCAAGTGCATCGAAGTTTCTGGAGATGATCATAAATTTATTTTTTTGGTATTAATCTCTAATCCCATTCGCTCACTGTATTCTCCGATTATAGTGACAAGTTGTTGAAGATCGACTATGTTGTCACAAATTAAGACATCAGCATATCGTATGTTGTTGATCAATACTCCATTCACTTTGATTCCCATCTTTGCATCCTCCAAAGACTCTTGAAATACGGAAGCACACATCCCTGTCGAATGCCCCTTCTTATATATATATATATATATATATATATATATATATATATATATATATATATATATATATGGGTTTGGATATAGAATTGTCTATTTTTAACTGTGCCGTTTGATGCCAGTACAAGTTTTCAATGCATCTTATGTCTTTTTGGTCTATATCAACTTTCTTGAGGATCTGCATTAACTTGTTGTGTTCGACACGATCAAACACTTTTTGGTAATCAAAAAAGCATAGAAACACATTATTTTAATGACAGATTATTCATTTACGTGTAAAAAACTAGTCTAAATGATAATGTAATATTTTACGCTTGGTAGTTCTATGTTTGGCGAGCTATTTACTTCCATTCATAAACTTTTGTAATTATTATTGTCGCTCCGTAAAAATAAGATTATTTAACAATATTTATCTTTTTTGTAGGCTAAGTATATTCGTTCACAAAATGTAGCTGGCGCTATGATTTGGCAAATAGGCCAAGACGATATAAACGGGGTGTGTGGCCCGAAGCAAGGATTACTTCAAGTTGTTAACAAATATTTACACGAAGATAATATTGAAATTAATTTAGATTAAAATAATTATAGTTTAATAGTATCATAAATCATAGACTGCCTCTCATGACAGTATTCTAATTTATTCTAATTTAAAAAATAAACTTTCAAGTTAGTATTTCTTATAATTTTATACATTTGAAATATATATGTTAAACTAAATATTATTGTTTATTTATGATAACGTTTATTTGGTGTTTTTTAATTAAGTGTGTAGCAATCGAGTGAAATTTTATTATGTGTGTATTTTTATTAGCTGTTTATATTGCACAAATCAAAAAAGCCAGGAATTTCCTACATCATTACTGAAAACAAATATTCCCGTTCAAATATCTAGTCTCTAGGCTAGAAATTAATGGAACTGTGACAAGAAAGTTTAACATTAAAATGGAAAAGTAACGCCATAACAAAACATGCCATTGGACATTAAGGGATATTAAATGTTAGCAATGTCTAGCTTGCATTGTTATATGGTGCAGAAACCTGATCACTAAAAGCATGAACATTAAACCGCATTGAACTATTTGAGATGTGAGGTTACTTAAAGTTTGTGGATACATTATGTTGCTAACTAAAGTAGCACAAAGAGACAACTTTTAAATACCTTAAAACAAAGGAACTTAAAATTGAGCAAAAATTATTTTAAATTACAGCAAAAAGAATTTAAACAGGGGATATTGAAGTTTAAACTTGAAAATTGTACCATTTAGAACAGGAATGAAAAAAGAAATTAAATCAATAAATGAAAAAATTAATAGTATTAAGAAAAAAATAAAAATTAATATAGTTATACAGGGTAATTAGCATTATACAGGGTGCAACAAAATAAACAATAGTTCGATTGAACCTAACTTATCTTAGTACAAATGTGCACATAAAAAAGTTACAGCCCTTTGAAGATACCAGATACCCTCTATTTTTTCCAATATATTGAAAACTGTTAGAGATTTTATGTTGAAAATGGACCTGTAGCTTTCTTATAGCAGAAATATCTTGAATATAAAAAAATATCAGTAAAATTTGTATACCACATAAAAATTTTATGGGGGTTTTGTTTCCTTTAACTCCCCCAAATGTTTGTATACGTTCCAATTTAAATATTATTATATTATAATATTACTAGTGGACCAACTCGATTTACCAGTGGACCAACTTTTAAATGAAATTTTATATACCAATTAATATATATATATATATATATATATATATACATATATATATATATATAAATATATATATAAATATATATATATATATAGATATATGGATATATATATATATATATATATATATATACATATATATATATATATATATATATATATATATATATAAATATATATATAAATATATATATATATATATATATATATATATATAGATATATGGATATATATATATATATATATATATATATATATATATATATATATATATTGGATTTGAAGTTTCCGCGGGAGCTATATGTGATTTCAGTTGTTTTCCGGGTTTGACTCCGCGTTAAGTAATTTTGGTTTTTAGAAAAACCATTGTTTTGACGACGTTTCGGCAAGGTCACACTTGCCATTGTCAAGTCAGATTAGTTCTGCTTCGTCTTGATGTTTCAGGAGAACTTTCAGTTCTCCTGAAACATCAAGACGAAGCAGACTAATCTGACTTGACAATGGCAAGTGTAACCTTGCCGAAACGTCGTCAAAACAATGGTTTTTATCAAATCATATATATATATATATATATATATATATTATATATATATATATATATATATATTTCGCGGTTCAACCCGGAAGACTGGTGAGTTTGATATTAATTTTAGTAATAATATTAATCTTAGCTCTAGGTTTTATTGTACTAACCGCGGAAATCTTTCCGAACATTTTATTCGCCTCTACGGGGAGGAATTTTACCAGCTCACTAAATCATATAGCAACCTACTACTACGTAAGAATCGTCTTCTTTGTGATTTAACTTTCCTTAAAGCCTGCCGAGACCATAAAGTCATTCCCAAATTTCTAAAACTCAAACACCACACTTCTTCTTCTTCTATCTCCCAAATTCTTAGGAAGGCCAATTTTTCGCTTCTCCGTGAAGCTATTCATTCCACTAGACGAAAACTAGATATCACAAATAGCAATCTTTTTAATATCTGGTCATCTATTCATTCTTTCAATGTACATCCTATATTATGGGATAGTTTCGACCGTATCAATACACAATCAGCCCTAAACACTTTCGAATCTAAAAGTGAAACTCAAAAACGCAAATTATTTAATCTCATTTCCGAAGAAATTCCAAAACCCTCAACATTGGAACCCACTACAGTGGTCCACAACTTTTCTGATACTCCTATTTCAACCATTGCCACTCAAGCTTTAGCAAAAGGTTTCAATTACTCTGTTACCCCAAGTCACATTCCAATTGAGACAATCATCTGTCAAACTGAAGAAGCCATCTCCAGTTTATCTTCCGAAGATGCTGAAATAACCAGGCAAGACATCTCTAGAGTCCTTAGAAACTCAAAGCCGCCTATTCAAAATATTAGCCAATCTGAGAAAAAAAGCCCTGAAAGAACTCCAGTCAAATCCAAATCTAGTCATTCTTCCTGCCGATAAAGGAAACGCCACCGTCATCCTAAACACCTCTTCTTACATTAATAAACTCTCAAATCTCGTTAATACTTCAGACTACAAACAAATTCCTAATAATCCAACAACCTATCTGGAGAAAACAACAAAAGCCATTATCAATAAAACCTCTCTTCCTGTTGACATCAAAAAATCTCTAATTCCTCGTGAAAAATCTTCAAGAACACCCCGAATATATGGCCTACCCAAAATTCATAAACCGGATATCCCTCTTCGTCCCATTGTCAGTGCATACAACTGCCCTACACAACCCTTGGCCAAGTATTTGGCCAAAACTCTACAACCTTTCGCCGAAAATGCTTCATCCTTCGTCAAAAACTCTTTTCATTTCATCGAACTTCTTAAACAATACCCTATATCACCGTCAGACATTCTAGTAAGTTTCGATATTGTCTCACTCTTCACAAACATTCCAATAGATGAAACTTTAAACATTCTTAAAACTAAATACAATATTCAACAAGATCACTTATCTCTCATTAAACATTGTATGTCCAACACCTATTTCATCTTTCAAAACAAATTCTACAGACAAATAAATGGTGCCCCAATGGGCTCCCCTCTATCTCCAGTAATTGCCAATATCTTTATGGAAGACTTCGAGACCCGAGCACTATCCACATCAATGCTTAAGCCCAAGAATTCTGAAACCAAGAGGAATAAAAACAATATTTACCCCCCAACAAAAACTTTCATCTCTTGTCCGATCTATCAAAGACAATATTCCAAATGAACAACACGGAGTTTATGAAATACCTTGTGCAGACTGTCCCCGATCCTACATAGGCCAAACAAACCGTAGAATCCAAAACAGGATTTATGAACATTCCATTTCTGTTCGCAATTCCGATTCAATTTCAGCTCTTGGTCAACACCATCTTCATACAGGTCATAAAATCGATTTTGAAAACTCCAGAACCATAGCCCCCATCCGCTTCTATAAACCAAGAATCATCCGAGAAGCCATAGAAATAGAAAAAAGGCCAAATTGTCTTAATAAAAGAGATGACGCCATACGGTTACCTTCTACATGGAGACCACTCATAAAGAAAATATCGCCCCCTCCATCCTCGAACCAAAATTCCACAGTCGGAAATGTACGCGCCAACCCCAGTACCAATTCTCGCGCCAACCCCCACCTAGGCCACGCCATCTTCGACGGTATAAATGAACCGTCTCATGTTCCCAGCCGTAGTAGTGTTCGTGCCGTGAATAGTGAACAGTGTAGTAGTGTCTGGGGGCTCGGGAGACTGAGACCTCGGAAGCCCTGATGAAGGCATCAGAGAGGATGCCGAAAGCTTGGCAAAAGCTGGTGAGTTTGATATTAATTTTAGTAATAATATTAATCTTAGCTCTAGGTTTTATATATATATATATATATATATATATATATATATATATATGTGTGTGTATATATAAATATATATATACATATATAATAATATAATGCAATTTTTAGTTCATCAAATGTCGACATGAATATCATTTAGCAGTTAATTTTGCATGCTGATCACGAATCCGGTGTCAGATTTGCTCTATCTTGACATTTAATGCGCGTTTCGGGTCACTTTCGGTGTCGGATCGCAACCGGAAGTACATATTTAGATTCGTCTCGACGAGACCTTTCGATCCATATATACATTGTGGGGTCTAAAACTTAAAGTAAATTTTAACTTCCGGTCATCTCAAAACCGGAAGTGAATTTTTGTACCAAAAGTATATCTTGACAATCTCATACGTAATACTAATAATATTCCGAAAAAATATTTTAATTATCTAATATGGTTTTTGAGTAAAGTGGTGGACGAGAAAAGGGCTTGGCGTTTTAATATATAAGATTAATTATCTAATATGGTTTTTGAGTAAAGTGGTGGACAAGAAAAGGGCTTAGCGTTTTAGTATACAAGATATTATAATATTATATTATAATAATCAAAGCTCTTTTGTCAGAGTATTTGCCTGCAAAAAAATGCTTTCTGACTACCCATACCGTTTCGGAAACCAAACTGCTCATCACCAGTTATCCCCTCACAAAGTTTATATAAGTATGTCACAATGCAATATTTTTATAAAAATTTTGACCCATTAAACTGATATATTGATAATCGCTACACGATATTTTGAAATACACTATAGTCTGGCATTCCGTTTCTTGAGAATAGTTAAAAAATATTAATTCTAACCAGTTGTCTAGTAATTTACCGCTACTTTATCTCTTGTGTGATAATCGCGACACTCTTATCGTCTTAGTTGTAACCATTCTGCAGGTATTTCGGACCATTCTGCAGGGCCAGAAGTCTTCCTTCGTTTCGCTTGGTCGATGGCTTTCTAAAGTGGCCAGTATCTCGGTTAGATGTTATTTCTTTGTAGATTATTTAGCCATCAATTCTTTTACTAAAAGAATTAAAAACAATTAAAAGTAGAAGTAGAAATTAAAACTGCAAGAAAAATAGGTGGCATAACGTATATATTGGAATAGACAAAATTTAGCGAAAAACAAAAAGGCTTATGGTTCGTTATAGTTATGGTAGATCGGGGCAGAGCC